ATTTTATCTTGATTTACAGGTAATTAGCAGAAAGCAGAAAATTTATGGGTTTTTTTGGCTAAGTTCAATGTTAATATTTATCTCTTGTCTTTTTCCAGTATCTGGTGACATACATTGACTATGGAAATACTGAAATTCTAAATCGATCTGATATAGTTGAGATTCCTTTAGAGCTGCAATTTTCCAGTGTTGCCAAAAAATACAGACTCTGGGGACTACAAATTCCTTCTGGCCAAGAAGTTACCCAGTTCGATCAGGTAAGTCACAGATTATAAATATATTTATTGCTGACAATAAAATCATATGCTTGAAACACAATATAAATGTAGTTCAATACCATTAATTTTGTTTGATTTAAAAGCATGTATAAATTCAAAATGTAATGTAAAAAAAATAGATTATAGACTAATTAAGAAGCTCTGGTAGCATAGTGGCTAAGACACTTGCCTGCTAACCAGATGGCTGGCGGTTCAAACCCACCAGCCACTCTTCGGAAGGAAGGTTGGGCAATCTACTTCCGTAGTGATACCACTTCGGAAAACCAAGGAGAGGTTGGTATGAGTTGGATCTGACTTGATGGCAGTGTTTTTTTTTTTTTTTTTTTACTAGATAGAGGTTCTTTCTAATTTTTTATAATTTTTGTTGTCATTTAGGTGAATTTTACAAAGCAGATTGATTTTGTATTCAATAGTTCATACACATTTTGTTTCAAAACACTGATTACAATCCAGTTGTAGATTCTTTATTATCTTTAATGTTGCATAGTATTCCATTGTGTTTATGTACCATAGTTTGGTTATCCATTAGTTAATGGGCACTTAGGTTGTTTCCATCTCTTTGCTGTTATGAATAGTGCTGTGATGATCATGAATGTGCATATATCTATTCATGTCCCGGATCTCACCTCTTTAAGGTGGGATTGCTTTAAGGTGGATTACTACTTCCTCGTAGTAGGATTGCTGAGTCAAATGATATTTCTGTTTCCAAGCTTTTGAGGAAGTGCCATATTGTTTACCACAGTGGTAGTACCATATTACAGTCCCCCCTAGCATGTAGGAGAGTTCCAATCTCTCCACATTCTTGGCCAGCATTTGTTGTTTTCTGCCTTGTTGAACTTTGCTATTATTACTAGAGTGAGATGATATTGCATCGTTGTTTTGATTTTCATCTCTCTGATGGCTAATGATCGTGAGCATTTCTTCATGTGTTTGTTGGCTGCTGGAATATCTTCTTTGGTGAATTGTCTGTTCATGTCCTTTGTCCATTTTTGAGTTATTTAGGTTTTTTTTGATGTTGAGGTGTTGAAATTTTACGTAAATTTCAGAGATAAGTCCCTTGTAGGATGTGTCGTTGCCAAATATTTTTTTTCCAAACTATGGGTTCTCTTTTTACTCCTTTTGATTAGTCTTTTGATGTGCATAAGAGTGTAATTTTTAGAAGGTTCCAATCATCTGGTTTATTTTCTGTTGGTGCATTTTGGGGTTTAATTGATAGTCTATTTATGCCATAAATTAGGATCCCTAAGTTTGCCTCTATTTTATTTTTGATGAACTTTATAGTTTTGAGTTTTACATTTAGGTCTTTGATCCATCTTGTTTGTTTTTGTGTGTGGTGTGAAGTATGGATCTTGTTTCATTTTTCTGCAGATAGATCCAGTTTTGCCAGCACCATTTGTTAAAGAGGTGCTCTTTCCCTCCTTTAATGGGTTTTAGACTTTTGTCAGAGATCAGTTGTCCATAGATGGATGGATCTATTTCTGGATTCTCAATTCTTTTCCACTTGGTCTGTGTGTCAAACACTGTACCAAAGCCATGCTGTTTTGACTACAGTAGCTGTATGTTGTTGTTGTTGTTATGTGCCGTCGAGTCGGCCTCGACTCATAGCGACCCCTCCTTGGGTTTCCGAGGCAGTATCACTACGGAAGTAGGATTGCTCAACCTTCCTTCCGAGGAGTGGCTGGTGGGTTTGAACCGCCAGCCTTCTGGTGAGCAGTCAAGTGCTTTTAGCCACTATGCTACCAGAGCTCCCACAGTAGCTGTATAGTAGTAGGTTTTGAGATCAGGGAGGATGAGACCTTCTACTTTGTTTTCCTTCTTCAGTAGTGCTTTGCTTATCTGACATCTCTTTCCTTTCCACATAAAAATAGTGATTGATTTTTCCATGTCCTTAAAGAATGTTGATGGAATTTAGATCTTGTACTGAGCTTATAGATTGCTTTGGGTAGTATTGACATTTTCACAATATTCAGTCTTCCTATCCATGAGCATGTTACGTAGTAGTATGTTGTAGTTTTCTTTATATAGGTCTTTTGTGTCCCTGGTGAGATTTATTTCTAAGTGACTTAGTGCCTAAGGCATTTATCTGGTAACCAGAAGGCTGGCAGTTCAAACTTGCCAACCATTCCTTGGAAGGAAGGTTGGGCAATGTACTTTCATAGTGATACTGTCTCGGAAACTCAAGGAGGGGTCACTATGAGTCGGATTTGACTTGATGGCAGTGAGTATGGTTTGGTTTTGAATTTATCTTTTGGTAGCTATTATAAATCATACTGTTTATTTCCTTTTCAGAGATCTTTATTGATAGAGAGGAATCCAACTGATTTTTGTTTGTTGATCTTGTATCCTGCCACTCTGCTGAATCTTTCAATGAGTTCCAGTAGTTTTCTTGCTGAGTCTCTTGGGTTTTCTATGTATAGAATTATGTCATCTGCAAATAGAGTTAATTTTGCTTGTTCTTTGCCAATTTGGGTGCCTTTTATTTCTCTTTCTTGTCTTATTGCCTGGCTAGGGCTTCCAAAACAGTGTTGAATAGAAATGATAGAGGGCATCTTTGTCTGGTTCTTGTGGGGAATGCTTTGAGTCTCTCTCTGTTGAGAATAATGCTGGCTGTTGGTTTTGTGTATATACCTTTTATTATATGAGGAGTTTCCCTTCTAATCCTGTTTTGCTGAGAGTTTTTATCAAGAATGGGTGTTGGATTTTCAAATTCCTTTCTGTGTCAGTGTATATGATCATACGGTTCTTTTTCTTTGCTTTATTTATGTGGTAGATTATGTTGATTGTTTTTCTGATGTTGAGCCATGCTTGCATACCTGATATGAATCTGATATATTTTACTATAGTGTTCGATTCTTTTGGCTAGGATTTTGTTGAAGATTTATGTGTCTATGAGGGATATTGGTTTGTAGTTTTTTTTAATGTCTTTATTTGGTTTTGGTATCAGGGTTATGCTTGCGTCATAGAATGAATTTCAAAATATTCCATCCTTTTCTATGATCTGGAATAGTTTGAGTAGGATAGGTATTACTTCTTTGAACATTTGATATAATTTTCCAGTGAAACTATCTGGACCAGGACTTTATTTTTGTGGAGAGTTTGTTTCAAAAAATTATTTATTATTTATTTATTTTTAATGACCTATTCATTTTCTTCTTTTGCTACAGGCCTGTTCAAATTTTCTATCTTAGTCTGTGTTAGATTAGGTAGGTCTTGTGTTGCTAGAAATCTGTCCATTTCTTCAAGGCTTTCAAATTTAAGTACAGTTCTTCATAGTATTGTTATTATCCTTTTTATTTCAGTTGGTTTGGTTGTGATGTCGCCCATTTCATTTACTATTTGTGTTATATTTGTCTTTTCTTTCTTTTCCTTAGTTAAATTTGCCAGTGGTTTGTTGATTCTGTTAATATTTTTTGAAGAATCAGCGTCTAGTCTTGTTGATGGTTTCTTTTGTTTTTCTGTTTCATTTATTTCTGTTCTGATCTTGTATTACTTCATTTCTTCTGGAGACTGCTGGCTTCTTTTGTTGCTCTTTTTCTAATTGTTAGAGTTGTTGGGTTAAGGTGTTGATTTTGGTTCTTCTTTTTTGATGTGTGCATTTTGCTATAAATTGATCTTTGAGTACTACTTCTACAGTGTCCCAAGTGTTTCAGTATGTTGTGTTTTTATTCTTGTTTGTTCATAGCAGTTTTTTTATTTCACATGTTTTATCTTCTGTTACCCAGTCATAATTGAGCAGCGTGGAGTATACGTGGATACTCCATGTATTTGATTTTATTCCCCCTGATGTTCCTATTAGTGATTTCTAATTTTATGACATTGTGATCTGAGAAGGTGCTTTGTAGTATTTCAATGTTTCTAAATTTATTGAGGCTTGTTTTATAGCCTGACATATGGTCTGTGCTGGAGAATGATCCATGTGCACTGGAAATGAATTTTTATTGTTTTTTTGTTGGGTGGACTGTTCCATATATGTCTATAAGGCCAAGTTGGTTGATTGTGTTTTTGAGATCTTCTGTATCTTTGTTGAGTTTTTTTTTTCTTGTTGTTTGTCCTTCATTGAAAGTGATGTATTAAACTCTTACTACTGTTATAGAATTGTCTGTTTCTCCTTCAGTTCAGTTAATGTTTGCTTCATGTATTTTGGAGATCTTTCATTAAGTACATAGATATTTATTATGGTTATGTCCTCTTGGTCATATGATGACCCTTTTGTCATATCATATAATGCCTTCCCCTTATGCTGGTTTTCACTTTGAAGTCTAATTTATCAGAAATTAATACTACCACTCCTACTCTTTTTTTTTGGTTGCCATTAGCTTGATAAAATTTTTCCCAACCCTTGATTTTTAATTAATTTTTATCTTCATGTGTAAGGTGAATCTCTTGTAGGCAGCATATTTATAGGTCTTCTTTTCTTATCCAGTCTGCCACTTTCTTTCTCAAATTGGTAGGAATTTACTGTTGTTAATCTTTTTGAGTTTTTTGTTGTGTTGATGGTTTCTTTTTTTCTGAATATTTTTCTGTGCTGAGTTCATTTTGTTACTAAGTTTTCTTTCTCTTCACTAAGTTTGTGTTTACTAAATCACTGTGATTTTCTTCTTATTTTTGTTAATAGACTTATTATTTGTAGTAGATTCTTACCTTCCTAAGTTCAAAACAGGCTTTGATACTGTCCTGACTTCCTCTCTATTTGGAAGTTGTGTAATTATATCATTTACTTCATCTGTTTGCTTTGTAATTGGCATAGTTTACAGATTGACTCCTTTGATTCTTTATTTTTTTTTGTAAGCTTATTCTAGTTTTGAGAATGCTTTTTCTGGGTTGACTTCTGGGTGGTGATGTTATGTGTCTTAATCTTAAAATGTTGTCTTCAGTTGTTGGTTTTGTACTGTAAGTATTCCTTTAGCATTTCTTGTTGGGTTGGTCTGGTTTTTACCAAATCTCTTACTTTTGTTTGTCTGAGAATGCTCTAATGTCAC